GCACGGCTGGTGGGCTGGAGTGAGCCGCGGCCGGAGGGCTCGACTTCGGAGTGGCGAAACATGTGGCGGTTTCCATGCCGCAGGGAAAAAAAAAAACGGGAAAACAAAAACTATTAAAAAAGGTGGAAAACAAACACGGGGGAAAAGACGCCGCTTACTTTCAGGTTTTTCTGAAGGTCTTGCGTTCTGTCACGGGTCGTGGTGCGGAGGAAGCACAAGGAGAGGCAGGAATCCACGGTAGAGTCTTTAATTATCAAAACAAGAAGAAAACACTCTGTAACTGAGGGAGACAACAAGCATGATACAACTTTAACGCAAGACAAGGGAACTGAGGAAAACACATGGCTTAGAATCACATGGAACGTAATCAGGGAGCAACTAAATGCAAACAGGAACTAAACAGAAACAAACAAATTTTTCAAAATCGTAAATAAAAGAAATATTATTTGGAGAATGTTTTGCAAGGAAAAAATATTTTTCATATTTCATTCAAAGTATTTGCTGCTTCTTTGTATTTTTGAAGTTGACTAGCAATTTCTGAGTGAAAACAGTTTCAGAGTAAATCCAGTGCGTCTGAAATGCCATCAACATATTTTTACAGTGAATTTCTGGCATCCACAGTTGCCAATGTTTTTCTACAGTAACGTACTGTAAATACACAGGATTATTTTTACAGTGCATGGTGGTATAGAGGTGTGTTAAGAGTATTTTTAACACCTGACACATGAGACACAGAGATTCTGCACATCTAACAGACTGCAGGAACATGAAGGTGTTACAGTATGAGCAGGGCAGGACTTACGGGGCCAGGGGCCCTGGGCTTGAGGTTATGTTTGGGCCCCATACCTACTACAAATTATTACAAAAATGTAAATATGCCTTCAGGTTCATATACTGTATAAAATTAATAGGCAACATGTCTAGCCTAGTCAAAGTTTAGATGTAATATTAAATAGTCACTATAATACAATAAACAATAAATCTCTCAGTTGAGAGATCAAAACCCTGAAATAACACTGAGCAGAAAAAAACCAAAGAGATGTATTATTATGAAAATGTATGGTCATATCTGTGTCCTTTTATGTCAGATTCTTAAATTTAATAAATTCAATCTGAATAAAAAAACATGTTGGCTATTAACAATCAAATTAAATCACTATAAACAAAATCCATAGATGGATTTTGCATAAGTTATGTTAAGTTTAAATACAACATTTTAATGTAGAAATATTAAATGATTGCAAAAATGAAATAATGAGCTACTTTTTAAAATATGAAACTACAACCGCCAGTAGGTGGCAGCAAGTGACTGTCTTAATGAGTGAGTTGAATCCTTAAATCAACCAATTCGTTTAAAATGCTAATTCATTTAACTTAGCAAACGACTGTACTTATAGCCTGTTTGAATCATTTACTGGTCCGTGTAATGCTGAGAAACGCATTGAGACGCATTGATGGGGCAAAACAGAATTTTGTGTCTGAAAGTTACTCAGTAACTTGTTGTTTATTGTACATTTACGATCATGCAGATATTCGGAAAAACAGGACTCTAGTTTGTGTGACAGGCTAACTCCTATATCGTAGGCATTCACTCATTAAATGCAGGGTTCGTTCAACCAATAAATTTC